CGTGCAAACTGCTTCTACCCAACGAAATGAAAAGATTTCACTTTTTTTCTTTTTGAATATTCGTTGATCAAGCGAAGAACTGTATTTCAGGGTGCTATTATTTTTTTAAGATAAGCTAGAAGTTACATTTTTATGCATGTAAAGTAGCAGGAGCTTTCGCCTTTCCAAGTTTTCAATAGCAAGTAGATAATTTTCGATTATTGATTGCCAGTACTTTCAGCACGAATACTACAGCTGCCAGTCGAGCTGCTAAACGAAGAGGGATTTTCCTGTTTCAAAATTTTCTGGATTGCTGTGAACAAGAAGTGTAAAAAATTGCATCAACCTACAGAAGGAATCCCTCACTATTTGTTGAACGATTTTGAACTGGAAGTAAGCTATTGTTTGTTGTTTTCTCGCTTTGATTAAAGCAGTAAACTTTCTGAGATGGGGATATCGATGATCAGAACAGTTACATGAGATTCAGGCTTTAGAAGTACCATGGAATACCGGGAGGTGCTATTTTCTTGAAAGAGGGGGGTGGGTTGCCTGCTATTGGCTATGGTACAGTCCCCCCTTGGATTAAGCGGATCTAATTGGCTGTTTTGCAGGGCATGGACTATCTGTGGGAGATAATGCTGCAAGCGCGAAATACGGTGGCACGGCTGGCTACACTGCTGTGGGTGGATGTTTTATCAAATCCTCACACCGAAGTGATCTCGGATCTCGCTCAGCTGATCCAAATGGTTGTTAATAAATGGTATGTCACTGTTTTCTAGGAAGCGCCCCATACATCGAGCAGGCCTGTGGGTTAGGATCGTGCGGCCTGGCATATTTACATACGATGTGCAGGAATGTCCCATAAGCACACCGCTTTTCTGATTGGCCATCGTATTCTTGATATGTTGCCGCCAGTTTATTCAGTTACTGATGTGGATGAACTTGAACTGAATCCATGGTTTTTGAACCATTCTAGAGGTTGCATGTTGTAAATTTGTGTGAAAGAAAAAAATTTAGTTTTTGAGGGGTTTTGTTAACTGGTCTTGGACTTTAACTTTCTCCCGCTGATTTTTAGCCCGTCGCTTTCCTTGTTCCTCAGAGTCAGAACTTACCTTATTCACTAATACTTCTTTTACTGGCCGTAATTTACATGCACATTGCCAGGAAAAACTTTACCGTGGGTTTTGAAAGTTTGCTTTGTTAACGTAAATGTGGTATTTGTGTAATCTGTGGTCTATTTTCCTCTTGGTCATCTTAAAGCACTGCTTCACACTTTGCAATTTCTCCTGTTTTTTCAGCTTTACAGTGTTAAAATCAAATCACGACGAGCTCATCAATGGCGAACGAGATGATGCGGAAAAAGATAAAATCATCAAACGCATGAGCAGAGTTTTAGTTGTAAGCTTCTTTTTTTCGAAGTTTTTTGTTAGAATTTTAAATTTTGGTAGACGCTATTTAAACTTTTGAACTCAGCAAGTTTCTGCTATTTAATAACTTTCATTTTGTTTGTCTGTTATCTCTCGTTTTCGCCATATGGCCAGTCATGCTATTTTTCATGACATGTTTTGATTTGGCGGCAACTCAGTTCTCTACATGCGCAATCAACAGAATACTTTCGTTGTTCCGTAGCTCTTTGAGTGTTCTCCGTTGCTGAGCGCAAGAAGTGAGCGCGATGACAGCCTTTTGCTTTTTTTTTTTCGACATCAGTACCGTTCTGAATTGCTGAGTATTGTACTGTAACGATAATTGTTTTAAAGAACAGTCATTTTAATAATTTTTTTTTGGAATGTTCAGGCACTGCATTGTTATATTTGTGCATTCGACGAAGACTGCTTCCTGCCGGACAGGAAACGACAACCGCTTCGTAAAGCGTGCCTCGGGCGATGCTTCTTAGTGCCAATTATTTTGTCAGGTAGCTTGTACTGAATCCATCTGCTAAAGACGCCAATCACATGCGCACAGCGTTAGATGGAAATGAAAGCTGCGCAGTCACAGGCTGTCGAAAAAATAGCATTCGTTGAGCAGAGCATGTTGCTTGGCTTGCTGACATGTCGCATCTCAGCAGCTAGTAGTGTTGGAAAGTAATGGGGCATGCATTTTATCTCCTGTACGGATTGCCAGCTCATCGGTTCTCCCGTAAAAAATGTACACAGAGAGTTTTTAGTTTTAGTGTTTTTTAAAACGAAAATCATTCATTCGATTGATTTGGTTTTTTCTCAACATTTTTGCAGTAAAATTTCTTTTTATTGGGCAACGTTTCTTTTTTTTAGATCGGAAATGTCAGTTAAGTGGCTTCGATCTGAGCTGTAAGTTCCTTTTATTTTTTTCTTGCCTGTTTAGCTCCTTCTATTTTGTGTTTATCAGAAATGCTTCAATTAATTCTTTTTTTTTTGGTTCAAAATTTAAAGCGATAAACTTTCAATTGTTTCAGTCTTTTAAATCCAAATTC